AAAAGAAATATTTCACTCGACTGTGAATTTTGTCAGATTCAAGCAACTTTGGGAATATGGGTCCTATGTCGATATCACTCCAAGTGAGATAGGAATGGTATCTGCAAAGTCAGTGGCTATCATATGTGAAAGGTATTGTAGGTTAGAAACGTGCGTACCTTGATTTTACATATGTGGCTCCATTTTATAAGGGTTTCATGAGGTCTAGAATCTTCAGATCAATGATTCTTATTTAGAAGGACAAATGTCTGAATACAATTAATTTTATCATCTAATGGTTATTCATCAATCATTTTATCATATTAGGTTTCTTTCTGAGGGATGTTTACAGTTGTTCTTGAGTTCCAAGAACATTTCTTTGATTTACAGATGTAGGATGTACATTATACCTTTTGATGTCATTATGGTATATCATTATGAGCACCTTTTGCTTTTTTTTGGTCTTCATTACTTTTGGCTTCAGATATTCTTGGCTTGTGATACTGGTCATGAAATGGGTAGGAATAATAACCTTTCAAGTCTGGTCTGCCATAGCTATGGCATGTCTTACGATCTTATACCATCTCTGCCTACACCCTACTAACCTTTTTTTCATCTGACTTTTATCATGTCTTGAGCTCGTACGATTGGTCTTTCCATAGGAATTAGAATCATCCTAATATAATTTTGCTTGTCATACTTTGGTCTTATAATTTGGGACACATGTTTGGGGTTATAATTTTTATTTATTCAATGAGCTTTATAAGTGGAAATTATGGCGATTCAGGTTTCCACAAGAGACAGAGAATAGTTTATGTTAGGGTAATGCTAACTTGTGCCCTGGGGCACATGTTAAGAACTAAATGTAGAAATGTTTTCTTGGAACTTGTGTATTGTTTCTATTTTTTATTACTTTATGTTAATATCCTCTCATGCTTTTATTGTTTAGTGTGGCATAATGTTTCCTTATCATACCCCTAGGGTTCGTAGGCAATGGGCACCCTCTTTCTTAAGTGGTGAGCATAATCATTGGAACATAGGGAAATGAAACTACTTAGGTTCACTTATGCAAGATAGTGATTAGTAATTGGTGATTCTTGGATTTCTTAAAATTCAACATTCTCAGTTATTCTTTTTTTATTTGTTTTCTCATCTTGATTCCTTATGACAACATTTATTAGGTGATTTTATGCTAAAAAATGCAATCATTAATGTTTCTACATTGCACAAAATCTTTTCTCCTTAGAGATAATGAAATGCATCATGACAATTAATCTATCATCTATGACATTTGAGATAATGTTGAACATGAATTTTGCCCTAGAAATAGGTCTATACTACTTAATATCATTATCATTATGAATTTTAGGGAAGAGAATTAGAGTATTGGCATTCTAATTAGACATCAACCTCCATTATTGAAAAATTCAATAATTGCATTAACCATGTTTAGTTGGATAATCTCCCAATAACTTTTTAAAAGAGAGCTCTAAATCATCATGAAATGGAAATCTAGTGAGTGTATAACTAGTTCTATCATCAAAGATGTGAGGGATGTATTCATCTATTAAAGATTGACCTTGCACAATACTTGAGTTTGAATCAAATGACTTTTTGTAACAATAGAACACATGGTTAGAAATTTGCACATGATAAATAAATCACACCATCTCCAACTTTGAGAGAGGTTATGTGCTTAGTAGTGTTCTTTATTTTGGAATATAAGAGGAATCCAAAACCAATCATGTCTTTAAAAAGAGTCTTTGAGATTAATAAGAGAATGCTTCTCTTGGTACATAAGCTCCTCATTGAGATCATTACTCTGATTTTTTATTTTCCACATGACTCGGAATTTTTAACTTAGACAACAAAAACTTGGGACAACTAATAAAGTTGGTCTTTCAACATTTAAAAAATATCAACTTGTAAAGTGATGAATTCTTTAAATAGTGACTATATTGATTTAAGGTTAAAGTATGGCATACACAACTATCAATATGAGAATAACTTATAACAATTACATAACATACTTTATGGCATTCTCGTGATGGGTCAAATTTTTTATCAATATTACTCATAATATTTATACTTATGTGAAAATTGAATATCTCATATTCATGCTATGACATATTATCACCAGTATATTCACAAAATAGTCTACACCAATTATTGTTGTCCTTTTCTACAAAAAGGCTTGATTGCGAATACTTTATGAATGACATCATTATATTTAATGATCTCAACATTAAGTCACATTTAATTATCCATTAAACTAATTAATTATTCTAGGGACTTTATTACTTTGAAACAAACATAATAAAGAAAGTTCTTTTATTTAAATGATGTACATGATATAAGTTTTTAGTTCAATCATAAAATCATTGGTTTCTAAGTATTACACCAATAATAATGGTTAATGAAGTATATACATAATATAGAAATGATAAGAGATTGTTACGGTTAATCTTGGATTAAGACAACCTAAGTAACAAATGAGAATGAGTAACAATTATTCTGTGGATATGAGCTTAACAATAAATAAGGTTTATGAATAATATCCTTCAGAATGGAAAAGCCTAATCGGGTGGTCTAGTATATTGTAGATATGTTGATGAATGAATGAATGATAAAATGGATGTTAAAGTATGTTAGTAAAAGAATTATATGATACATACATAAGATTTGTCTATGTTGTCATAGGATAAGAACATATTAGTACATATGTTATGATTAATCCTAGCATATGTATGAGAATCGGATTTGGTCCTTGTAATGGAAAACCCTAGATTGGTTAATGGTTCACTACAATGAATGGGTCGTTTACTAATACTAGGTAAAGTAACATAATCTAGATTGTACGTTGAGACCAAAAAAACTACTACTTTGGTTAGCATGGTTATAGACAAGTCCCTCATTTTTATTAGGGATTCATATATATATATATATATATATATATATATATATATATATATATATATATATATATATATATATATATATATATATATATATATATATATATATATATATATATATATATATATATATATATATATATATATATATATATATATATATATATATATATATATATATATATATATATATATATATATATATATATATATATATATATATATATATATATATATATATATATATAATCATTAATGATATTGAGAGTATTACAGTTACATGATTTTATGAGTATAAGGAAAACTTGGATAAGTTTATGTCCAACATAGGTGAACCTTGAATATTTTTAACTCTTATGAGATACTAAGATTTATAATGAGGGTTGATTAATGGAAATATCATGAGATAACAATATTCATGGAAGCCTCTTTTAGACTATGACAAATACATAAGAGATGTTTGATTTTTAAGTATCACATTGAAAACCTGGATGAATTATATCTAGTGTGGGTGAATCATGTTTACTTGATTGATTGATAATGATTAGAGGGGGGATTGACATGTCGCGATATATTATTATTTGTGCTTGATTTCACGATTCTTGGTATCATGAGTCATATATGTTAGTCAGGATCCATATGGTATACTTAATAGTATAGTGTATCATGTGTGATCCATTTCCTATTAGTTATACGGAATGGTTTCTCTCTCAATTTTATACTCAATTGTATAGGATTGCATATGTTTCATATCCTATAAGTTATCATAGGACATATAAGATTCATATACTATACTCAATGGTGAGAGGCCTTGTTTGGTCAGGATCCTGAAAATCATATATGAGTTATATGATTGTCATGGCACCTTCTTATGTAACTAAAGGACACATAGCTTATCTTAGAAGTTAAGATAAACTTTTCACTTTGACCTGGGTAGTCGAGTAGTGAGATATTTGTTGGTTCTAGTTAAAGAAATTTACTGAGATTAGTATTTCATTCCACATTATTTATATTTTTTCATAGATAAATAGGTACCTCGGTTGGATTCATAACTGAAAACTTGACACTAAATATATATTTTTTATTATATTTATATTTTACTCAACTAATAGACTTTGAGTTGTTGTATCGTAAAACAAACAAAAAATTATGATATAATTTTGTTTACTTTTATTTCATACTTGAATCTATAATATATCAAGTATCTGTAGTTAACATTGCAATTATTATTCTAAACATATAATTATGGTGTTACAAATTATGTTAGATATAGAATTGAAATAAAAATAACTAATGAAAACTTTCGGTACTTGGATGAAACCCTCATATTTTGGTCAAGCAAATTAATCAACAATTGCATTGTCAATTGCATTGTGTGTGTGCGCGCGCGCGCACGCGTGCATGTGCGTGTTAATTAAAAGTTATTTTCCTACTGTTACAATACTTTAGTCACTTAGACAAACACGATCAAACGAGCTTTTACACTTTCTCTCTTCCACAACTCGGAAGCTTTCAAGACCATTTGTTATATACATAGATCACACAAACACTTCACTGGAATTTTAAGTATCTTACTGGATGAGGCTTGATATGTCTCCAAAATTGGTCACTATCATTAAAGAGTTGGAAAATTACTACCACCGACTTCAACATTCATTGGTGTTATCATCACCAAAACTTTAAAAGTAGGATTATCACTTTCATACTTGCAATCACATAGATGCACAATTTTCCATAGTGCTTGATTTTTCAATAAATATTATTCTTGTAAACCCTTGTAAGTACTACCTCCATCCCAATTTATATGATGTTTTGGAAAAAAAAATGTGTCTCAAACTATAAGTCGTTTTGAAAAATCAATGTAGAATTTAATTTGTTTTTCCCAAATTACCCTTGGGTTTTTTTTTTTCTTTTTGTCTTTTGCATACATTGTACTTGTCAGACCCTTATGTTTCCAAGGGGACTAACGTGTGAATATTGTTTTTCAGATATTCTCTCTTTCCAACATTAATATCATAGATCTCTTTAATTTTTTTAGACCGAATATGGCCTATTTATAAACATATCAAAGCATTTCTTTTTCTAATACAGTAGTAGATTTTTATCATGAAATTTTTTAACAATTTAACAATATTTTCTGAAGTTGCAGAGGATTCTTTAGATTCTAAAATCGTTTTAGATAATGAAGAGGACGAAGATCTGATATTTTCAGAAATAGTATCAGATTTTATGGATGAACAAGATGATAAAGACTCTGTTGAATATTTAGATATGGTTCCAGATTTTTTAGATGGAGGAGATGATGAAGACAATTTGGATATTAACTTGAATATTCATGACAATGGGTTGGACATAAACAAATTTCCTGATGAAGAAGAAGACAGTTCAGATGAAAATCAACATAAAGAAGAGTTGAAGAAATTACGAAAAATTTATCTTCTAAAATTTTATTAAAAATATTTAGAGAATTGTCTTTTTAGCATCTTATTTTATGCTGCTGGCATATTATTGTGAGTTTGGTATTATAGCAAAATTATCCTAAATTAACATTATCGTGAGTTTATTCAAATGTGGAATCCTATAGTTGGTTACCCCTTTTCCAGTTTTCCATCAACACTTTTCTCTAATAAAGCTTCCTATATCATTCTTCTCTTAATATTAGAGACCACTTTTCTTATTTTTGGTACCTCTAATGCTTCAAAATTTAACCTATCATTATTATCGTATTTTTCTATAAATAAGAGAAAATAAACGCTATGTAAGATATTTTCATAGATTATATATAAAAAAGAATAACAAATAAAAGTTAATACTAGAGATAATACCTTTAAGTTCTAATTCAATATCTTCATGTGCATTATTGTTCTCTGTATAATTTTTTTCATATCAACCTTCTAAAAACACGTGAAAAAATTTGCGTAGATGAAATTAATTCAAAGTGAATTTTATATCAAACTATATTAAATTAATTGATATCAAATCAATTCATATCAATTTAATGGTTCAAAATTAATTTATTTTTCTTATTAATATTTGATATATCGTGACTATAATGACATCCGATATTATATTTACAATTATATATCCAATTCAAAAGATTTTGTCAAGAACATTTAGATGTGCAATTATATAAAAAAGCTAAAATATTTAGCTACTTTACTTGCCAACATGCATCTTCACTCAAACATGCATCAAATGGTTGCACATTTAAATCATATACAAATTGTTCTGCTGATGATATTAATGAGAATTTGGAATGATGTTGAGATCAATCTCTTCTACTGCATTGATATTTAAATCTGATAAATGGTAAACTTCATTTGCATTTTGTGGTTGGACATTATCATTATCAATTTTTTGATGAGGGTTTTCGTTATTTAAATTTATATTAAAAAATGAAGCTTCATGATTTGAAGTCATTTTGTGAATTGTATGATTTATTTAGTTTAAAATTCTGGATTTACAGTAAGAAAGAAGAACCAACAATCAAAACTATTAACGTGATGTCATGTAAATAAATCATTCTCACATATGGTAATGTTTTTAATTTCACATTTAGATTACTATTTAGAAGCTGACATGAACCGCAAGATAAGCCACATGTTATTCCTAACATAGAAATATTATTAAATTCTGAAACATAAACAACCTCTGAAAATTTAATTTCTTTGAAGTAACACAAGTAAAAATCCTTAATTTCATTTTTTCAAAAGAAGAGGCCCAACATTATCTCCAGTGGCTTTGTTGTGCTTGACATGGCTTCCATCACATAAAGGAAAAGTTCCTGATCTCCAACATCTGCAACAAAGCACCCAAAAGAAAAAAGCCAGAAAAAGATTAAGATTTTTTGTAATTTAAACATGAGAACTACATAAAATTAAAAAAACTATACGCATGGAAAATCCAAGACTTTCCATTTGATAAGAGACTTAGAAGCTTTACTTTTCAAACTACAAAATTCAAGAAGGTTGAAGAAGACATAAGTGCCTTATATATGCAGGGTCGTCTTTGAGCATGTGTAAAACAGATTACACGGTCTAAAATTTGTCATGGTTAAACCGTGATAAAATATAGCTTCATAACAGATTTGCTACAGTTAATCTGTAACTAAATAGAGCCTTATTTGTTTTACGATAGTTTAATCGTGACTAACCAACATATGAATTGAAATGAGCGGAGTTGAGTGGAGGTATGAGATGGAATGGAGTGATATTTCATTGTTTATATCATAACAAGGCAAATTCTTTATTCGGTCCAAATCCAAGGAAAAGAAATATAGTGCTAAGTGATGGAATGAAATGGAATTCATACCGCTCCATCCAAGTTTAAATGATCGAAATAATGAAATATCATTCCATTCTATTTCATACCACTCCGCTCAACTCCGCTAATTTCAATTCCACTCCGTTTATTTTATGATACCCAATCACAACCTGAATGAATTATTGCTAATGTCTATAACTTAAAAACATGAAAAGCAAGCTTCTTGAGTAATCAAATAACAACATGCACAAACTACCCTTCACAAATATTCATCTAATTTCAATTAAATATGTTTTAGTTCTTTTAAATATCTCAACAAATTTTTAGTCTTCTAAATTTGTATCCAAACCCTAAATCTCAAAACTAAATCCCAAAGCCAACAAAAAATCCCAAAGTCAACAAAAAATCCCAAATCAAACCCTAAATCCAAAATTTCAAACAGTAAAACTGTTAATTTCACAAGCAAAATACTAGTAATCACACGAATTAAGAGTCACAATGATACACCTAACCAGAAACAAAAACTTTAAAAACTGAACCCTTACCTGCAATAAGGGGTAACAGGCTTAGAGAGTTCATTAACCACAACAGCATCAACAACCTTTTCTTCATTCTTCCTAACATCTGGATTTATACTACTCACACCCCCTGCTTCCGCTTTCACCACCACCACACTCCTAACTCTCCTACCAAAGGAACAATTGTTGTTGAAATTGGTGCCTAAGAATCCATTTTTTGTCTCACCAAAACGTGGCTTAGGGGAAAATACTACACCAACTTGGCTTAGAACAGATTCCATTGAATAGGGTATGAATTTCTGTTTGTGTTCAAAAGTTCTTGGGTTTGAAATGGGTTGGTGGTGGATGAGATAACAAGAGAAAATTGAAGTGTTTGTTACACGTGTTGATGGACTTGTGGATAGCACACTCCACTTTGAATGGTGACAATATTAACATGTCATGACTCATTAAAGATTAACATATTCTAGAAGAAACTTTGTGTATAATTATTTTGTTTAATGATTTACTATAAATATCATACATAACAAATCTAAATATTAAATTTATAGTTTATGTTAATTATTAACTCTTTAAATTTTTATAAGGAATTGACAATTATAGTTATATATTTTTTTAAATGTTGAATATTTATTTGTACCTTTAATTTTATATGTACAATTGAAATATTGAATAAAGTTGAAATTTTGTAAAAAATATTATAATTAATTATGATTCAAAAGTTACATTGGTTGAATATAATATTTAGTGATCAATATGCAGTGTGTAAAATAGTTTTATACTGTCATCTAATAATTAATCAACTGTCTATCATGTCATTAATTTTTTTTAAATATTAGTGTGATATTGCGGAATTCATGATCGTCATTGATCGACATTGTAAAAATAATTTACACTATAAGTGTATCATCCATTTTCTCTAATATTTATATTTAATTATTAAATAAAATAATTTATAGAGAGAAGTTGATATCTTTTTTTTTTATTTTGTGAAAATATTTTTCATATTTTAACTTTGCATTAAGTTTAGTTGCTAGACAATGTAATAGACTTTTGAGATGAACAATTGTGTGTATTTTAAAAGAAAAATAATGAAAGTGTAAAAAAAAACAATATTTAGAAATACATTAATTATGTTAGTATTTTTGTTTTCACTCTAAAGTGAAACTATTGAACATGGTCTAAAACTTTGCCCCAATTGAATTGTGGTTAAATTAGACATCTTTATATACTTATCACAATCAAATCATGGCTAAATACATTTCTATACATTTTGTTAAATTGTCACTAAATTGAAATTCTTACCAAAATCTCCAAAAGTTTAAAATGACTTTTTTCTTTCTATCACAATTGTTAAAATACAAGAGACTAAGAGAAATTTGAATAAATTGTATGTTTTAAAAAGCACTACGGAAACATTATTATATATAGAGAGATTACAATTAATTATATAATGTGATCGATGTGGAACTATTCTATATATAAATATTCTTAACACTATATATTTACAAATATCAACACTCTCCCTCAAGCTTGAGCATATAAGTCAAATGCACCAAACTTGTTACATATATAATTAGTTTTGGGGCTTCGTAGGAACTTTGTAAACACGTCTGCTAATTGATCATTAGAGTTGACAAAGCTTGTGAAAATGTCACCTAACTTGATCTTCTCTTTGAAAAAGTGACAATTTATCTCCATATGGTTTGGTCCTCTCATGAAAGACTGGATTTGAAGCAATGTACAATGCAGCTTAATTATCACAAATCAGTGTCATTGGTCTTGCTTCTTCAATTTGAAGTTCCTTGAGAAAATGTTTTAACCAAATAAGTTACATGTTGTCATTGTCATGGCCATATACTTTGCATCGGCGCTTAATCTTGCAACACCATTTTGTTTCTTACTTTTCCAGAATATAAGGTTTCCTCCAACAAGCACACAATACGCAAAGGTGGATTGGCTATCAATGAGTGACCTTGTCCAATCAGCATCGGAGTATCCAACTATCTGAGTATGTCATTTATCTTCATACACTAGACCTTTTTCTAGAGCACATTTGATGTATCTTAGAATTTGAGTAACTGCATCCATGTGTTTCTAACAAGGGGAATCTAAGAACTGGTTTACCACACTCACTACAAAAGAAATATTCGGACGAGTGACTATGAGATGATTCAACTTTTCAACCAATTTCCTATACCTTTATGAGTCAGGTAGAGGCTCCCCCTGATTGGGTAGTAGTTTGACACTTTGATCCATAGGAGTATCAGCTGGTTTAACATTCAACAAACATGTTTCTTCCAAAATATCTATAGCATATTTTTGTTTAGAAATCACCAATCAATCTTTAGATTGGGATACCTCAATACCCAATAAATAACGGAGTTTACCAAGATCTTTTGTCTAAAATTGATTCAAGAGATGTTATTTTAACTGGAGTATTCTCTGTTGATCACTATCAGTTATGACAATATCATCTACATACACAGTAAGATAAATACACCCTTAGGCTGAGTGACGATATAAAACAAAATGGCCAGCTTCACTACGTATCATACCAAATTGTTGTACTACAGTGCTGAATCTGCCAAACAAAGCTCTCGAAGATTGCTTAAGACCATAAAGAGACCTGTATAGCCTACACACCATATTCGATGACTCCACCTAAGCAAGAAATCTAGGTGGTTGCTCCATATATACTTCCTCTTCAAGACCACCATGTAAAAAAGCATTTTTGATGTCAAGTTGATGAAGAGACCAATGTCGAATGGATGCAATGGCTAGAAGAAGTCAAACAGATGCCATCTTGGTTAAAGGTGTAACACCCTTTTCTACCCCATGAATATTATGGAAAAATATTCACATTTATCAGAGTAAAATATTGAAACACAATAAATCACCTCAAAGGGTGTACATTTATCAATAAATTCAAATCAAGGTCAATGCTCCGTAAGCAACGGGTTTCCTCAAAAGTTATCAAAATTTCTCAAATGGCAGCGGAACTCAAAAAGGCAAATCCAAAGTTTTCCTTTCATTGCAAGGAAATTAACAAAACAAAAACTCAATAAAATATAGTTTGACTCAAAAGACCCCAACCCCGATGTTACACTATCAGAGCAAGACCCTCTAAGTCAACCACAATGGTCAACGACCCAAAACTTCAAAAGTCTTCGACGGCATCCACGACTAAACTTGGTCATCTGCACATTACCCACATGGAAGCAACATTCAAACAGGCAGGATGAGTAAAATGATTCATAATAATCAATATAGGAAATCAATGTATAAAACAACGCCATTTTCATATTATGCATCATCATATTAATCAATGGGCATCAAAGGCCACAACATCATAAATTACTCAAGATTATCTCATGAATGCAAATGCAACAAGACTCATGCATGTGGTACCAATCATCACAGCTCGATGGACATTGGGCCACCAACCCTCCATAGATTCCCATCAATAGAATCGGTTCTATACAAGAACTAGAGCATATTAAAATACCTCACATTCACACAATGAGACTGAAGCCAAAGAAATCGAGGTCCTGAACCGAAGTTCGGATGCACATGAATGCATGATGCACACGTCAATATCATCCTCATAATAATCTCATTAGGTGCATCGTCATTCATCAAAATAATCATAAGAATTATGTCATCGTAGAATCATCAAAAATCATGGAATCAATATCACAAAGCATCCCAGTTCCTCAAGGGAATTCATCATGCAATCATGTATTAATCACATATAAATCACAGTTATACTCATGGTAATTCATCATACATTCATTTAATCACATAGGAATCACAGTTATACTCATGGTAATTCATCAGACATTCATTTAATCACATAGGAATCATAGTTATACTCATGGTAATTCATCATACATTCATTTAATCACATAGGAATCACAGTTAAACTCATGGTAATTCACCTAGAAAATGACAACATCAAAGCATCAAGACATCACTGAACCAGAACATAATTGACTTCCCAAACATATTAGATATGAAAATATTGGGAAACCAATTCTGTTATCTATACCATGTTATATCCCTGTTCATTAGCTTTCCAACGCTTCAAACGGGGACCAAAACGGACTTACGGATCAAAAGTTACATCCAAAACAATTTCGGCCGAAAACATGAACAGTCGTGACGGACAGCATGCAGAATTTTCTGCGTTTTTCACCATTGGAGGCCTTCCGAACCTCTGATTTCGATTCCATAAAAACTCAAACTCTCATAAAATTATAACTCATTCAACACTTTAATTATCTCAAGTAAATTTACAATTTTAACACAATTAAATTATCTAATCATTGTTTTAAGATTATGCCTAAAACCTTTAAAATTTAGGGATATATGTTCAATCCCGTATCATATTTATGCCTCTAATTCCCATAATTTCTTAGAAATACCTCACAATATTTAGAGTTATCACATATCACTTATCCTACAGGGTTAAACAATCTTAACAACAGATTTTGACCATGAAGGCCTAATTTCCTTTACTCTCAAATCAACCGCAAAACCTATCAGACCATCAGTTCAAATCCATATACGGTTAAAACCTCAATGATAGATTTTGGCCATGAAGGCCTACTTTCCCTCAAACCCAAATCGAAATCAAATCTATCAGACCATCAGTTCAAACCCCTATACGGTTAAAACCTCAATAATATATTTTGGTCATGAAGGCCTAATTTCCTTTATCTCAAATCAGCCTCAAACCCTTTAAACCATTAAATCAGCTTTAAATACATTGAATCACATATTGAAAATAATGAAGGCAATACTCTCCATACCTTAATTTCCGACTCTAAGCATTTCTCCTTGATTCTTGGGAACCATGTGAAGCCTTTGCCTCAATCCTCTTACTTAGAGCTCTAGCATCTATTTCTTCTATTTTCACGGTCTAATAAGAATGAATCCTAATTCCCTCAAAATTCCTTTTTGTTAAACCTAACTTTGAGGCGGTTTGACACATGGAAAAGTCTCAGGGGTGGTTTGACAGATCAGAAACATCTCACGTGCTAAACTTAATGTTTGCTAGGCAAAGGATCTGCTCGCTAGGCGAGCGTGACTGATCCTGAATGTAATATTTAAGAGTTTTTCTTACTTTTTAGGTCATAACTCATATTTTGTAATAGTAAATACATCAGAACTTATCTCTCTTCATTTTTTCTAGAGAGAGAAACACAAAACCCTAAGAGGGAGGAGGTAAGATCTTTGATCTCTTGTTGGGGTCTGAATGTAATCTTTTGATACCTTA